CAACTGTGGACCATAAAACCCTCAACCACACTGCCCAAGCATTTCAACACTATAATAATAGCTATGTTAGGAAAGCTCAAAATATAAGTTCCTCATCCATTGTAGTTAAAAAGTCAAAGGTCAGGTAAAAGTTCACTGATTAGAAATGTCATTTATTCTAGTGGATGGAGGTAGCAGAAAGGAAAACCAGATAATCCAAACCTTATTTTGTCTTGGAGTGGGGCAGATTTACCTTCCTTATTGTTCTTTTATTAGACTGTGAAAAAGGAATTTGCAATATGTCCAAGATAAACTGATAAGTAGAAAAAGCTGCAAGAAGTCTGGAGAAATATACACCAAACTATTAACCTATTATATATAAAAATATATAATACATATTTTTACAAATTTAAATGTTTTACAATAGCATGTATTCTTTTTTAATTTTTTTATTGAATTTATTGGGGTGACATTAGTTAATAAAATTATATAGGTTTCAAGTGTACAATTCTATAATACATTATCTATATATTATGTTCACCACCCAAAGTCAAGTCTCCTTCAGCCACCTTTTATCTGCCTTTACCCCTTTCTACCTGCCCCCAACCCCCTTTTCCTCTGATAATCACCAAGCATGTATTACTTCCCTAAGTAGGAAAAACAACTTAATGACATTTGAACCCAATTATTAACAGAAGAGAAAGGATAAGAGCTGTAGCTCTGCAGCTTCCTTTACCCTCAGTTTAGTTCTCCTAAATTAAGAACTTCCACTTAGAGCTCCCTGAATGCACTATGCTGTTTTAAGCCTCTTACTCCTATTCCTTTGGCCTTAAATGCAACTGCTTACCACTTAGCTCTGAAGGAAAAGTTCTATTCATCCTACAAAACCCTATTCAGGAGTTCCCACCTGATAAAGCCCCTGTATGACAAAGTCTTTTCTCATCCGTGAAGAGAATCAATCTCTTTAACTAGACATTTAATAAGAACTTAGATTTATGGAATTCTTACTGTGCACCAGGCACTATGCTAAACATTTTACCTATTTTATTTCACTGAGTCTATAAGTGGCAGATCCAGGATCCAATCCCAGATCTGTTTGACTCCAGAGTTTGAACCTTAAACCACTATTCTGTCATCTACTCTGCCTGAAGTCCATACTAACAGAGCATACCCTCTGTCCCCACAGTAATGCCCCCAGTTCCGTGAAAACAGGGACCATGTTTCACTATCTCTGGATCCTGCCTAGCACAATAACTGGCTCTCAATATCCTATATAATCCTATATAATAAAGAGCTAATATGCTAATTAGACAAAACAGCAGAACGAACATCTGGACAACCTTCCGGACGAAGCCGGGGCTTCGAGGGCCGAGCCCCTTGCACGGATTTCATGCATTGGGCCTCTAGTACAATATGTTTGCCTATCTGAACTAAGAGTTGTGATAATCCTAACATGGTAAATGAGAACTGACCATAATAGAAATTCATTCTTCCATATGCTATTCCCTTTAAAAACTGAAGACATCCCAAACAATTTACGGCCAAAGTACTATCTGGCCATCCTGATTAAAGTGCACCATAGTAAGCCAAGGTTTCTAGCAACAAATGTGTAACCATAACATTAATTTTTTCACCATAACCAACAAAGACTGAAACAGCCCAGCAATGCCAAGGCTGAACCTCACCAAGGCTGCTTGCTACAGGACACCAGAGGTTCTTCAGGATTTGGGGATGTTCTTAAAGTGTTCTTTGGCTGGTTTTTATGAATGACCCAAAAGTTATAGTAAAATTTTTAAAATATGGAAGACATAAAAGGTGAGTAGTCAATTTGTAGACAATTAAACATCCAAAAAAACAAACACATACCTGCACTTAACGCACACAAATCCAATAAATCAGTTCACCTTTCTTTGGGTGCTCCCAGTTTATAAGGTTAACCTCAATGACAACTCCACCAGGGCAGAGGCTATGTGTACTGATATACTTTGTACAAATTAACCAATGCCGGCCACATGCCTGACACATAGTAGGCACTCCATAATTAAACACCAGTACTTGGCCTCACACATCGTTAAAAGCTTCCCCTACAAAAGGATTGTACTGAAATTCCTTGGTCTTATAGTCAAGATATCATATAAGTAGGCACTCCTTCTCCCCTACTTACCTGCCTAATCTACCAGGATTTTGTGCTATATCACCATAACTCCTCACCGGAAATTCTTTATAGATATCAAACTCCAACCATTATTTGAGACCCAGATCAAATCTCTCCTTTGGCAAGAAGAATTCCTACAGAACTCCATGCCTTGTAACCTCTCCTTCCTCTAAAGACCTGTAGCGCTTACTACAACACTGTCCAGTAGAACTTTCCACAATAATAGAAATATTCTTTATCTGTGCTATCTACACTAATAAAAGGGTAATATGCTAATTAGACCGGACGTCCTTCTGGATGAAGCCAGGGCCAGAGCGAAGCCTGGATCCTGGGTGCCTGCCGATGGCTGGAGGGAAGCAGCCCTGGTCCCGGGGGCCGGAGGGAAGCCAGTGCCAGCAGGCAGGAGAAGGAAGGCCTACTCTTGCACGAATTTTCGTGCATCAGGCCTCTAGTACATTATATAAAATAGCTAATTTATTGAATATCAGACAATGTCCCACCATCTCTTTGAAGACATGCTGCATTGTAGGGGTAAAGCATTTTTCAAGTTGCCTCAGTAAACTGCAAGTTCTATAAACAAGTCATCTCATTCTTCACCGCAACTTTCACTAAGTTGCAGAAAGTAAATATTTGTTCATTTGTACACCATCTCTGAGAAAACTATAAGGTAAAAAGGTGCTGGACTCTGTGTCTGAAATGAGAGTCACTATCTCTGCCCCATCTCACATCTAAATGTCAAAACATGCAGAATCAAGGAGGAGAAAGCAACTTTCTGGAAACGCAAACGGCCACTGATCCAGCCACAGGCTGAAGTGACATTTAGGTCACAACTGTCCTTCATCTACAAGCTTGCCTAAATAAATATCTCTTTCCATTAGGAAATAGCTAAATTCTGAGGATAAATTATGCCAACTAAAAAGTCAGTTACTTCCCAAGTTAGATAGAGCAGTTAGAAAAATGACCTTGGCAAACCCCACTTGCACTTTTCCTCCTGTTTATCACATATCTCCCATGGAGTCTTACAGCCTATTGGTGGTATTTCACTATCCATGTGTACGTTAGAATTTCACTGACAGTTTTCCCACTGGGGTTTACACTCGCTCTAAAATAAGACCGAATACTTAAGCATAGATAGTCGAAAGAACACAAAATATACAGGAGTGTGAGTTCCACCACTACGGCACTCTGCTGCCTTAGGCAAATGTCTTGTTCCTTTGGCCTCAATTTCCTAGTCTACAAAATAGGATATGAACTATCTATATCTAACCCTTGTGGGTCAAATCACAACTGTGGATATTTCTAAATGGTTCTTCTTTCCAACAGGACTACACACAAAAACAAAAGACTCATAAACTTGCTAGTGGTTTTTTTGTGATGGATGTGCTAAGAAATATAGAGACTAAGAACAACCCTCCAACATCTACAACAATTTTTTTTTTTTTTTTTTTGTATTGCAGCCTTCCTTCCCCCATCCCACTAGTCTGAGCATAAATTCTGCCAGTATTCCAGTCTGGCACATGTAATAAGGAAATAAATGTGTTGACTCAAGGAACACAGACATATTTAACATATAACAAAATAGGAAACTGGCTGAATCAGGTTATAACAGTCTAAAGCCACATATAAGAGACTGAGATGATTTACTATTCTGATGTATTCAAACCAAGGCTTTATCAGCACAGCTAACCAAAGTTACAACCCATACACAGAATATAAAACCAGCAGATGCACATTACACATATTTTTGTATAAGAATAAGGGTGTCAACACTATACACCCACTTGATATAACAGAGGGATGTCTACTAAACATGGAAAAAGCAACTTGGGTGGCAGTTTGGATTTGGCTAACGGAAGCCCCGCCACACCACCCGAACACAGGTAAAGTTTGCACACATGGCTTCACCAAGGCCAGCCAGTCTTTGTTTCCCTCTCCTCTGCATTTACCCAAGATCTTGGCTCTGAGACAAAAAAAACTCCTACTCGCGATTGGCTCATTCTGCCCTATGCAATTAAGCAACACCACAATCCAGTAAACGTAGAGGCTCCATTATTTATCTTCTGGCCGAGTTTACCAGGTGTTTATAAAAGAACAATGACAAGGAGAAAAGAGGTTTATTTCGCTCTAGGGCTGGCTTGATTGGGGGGAGAGGGGGAGTGGTATTTTGTTGTTGTGTTTTGGTTTGTGGGGTTTTTTTTTTGAAGGGGGTTGGGGAGAAACCCGGCTTAACCTAGAAAAAGACCGGCGGGGATTTAGAAAGAGTGTGTAAGGCTGTCAATTTCCCTACAGGAAACTTGATTCTTATGCAATAATCCTACCCACAACCAATGAGCCCAGGAGACCGTAGGAGGAAGACACCTATTTCTGCCTCCAAGAGGGGCACAGCCGGCTCCTAAGGGATCCAACACAGGGCAAGGCCGAGGACGGGGGGCTCTTTTCAACGCCACCCCGCCTCTCCGCGACCTCTGCGGGCTTGACAGCCGCTCCTATGGCCGGAACGTCCCCGAGTCCCAGGGAGCAGGAAGTGGGGGGGGCTGTCCCTCACTCCCGCCACCCCCACGCGAGTGCTCTCGCCCCACGGTCCTCCCCCCTCGAGCCCGTTCTCTCTTCCTCGCCGCCTTCCCTTCCTCCGAAGAACGAAACTTCCTTCCAGCGCCCTCTGTCCCTTCAGAGGCCCGCTCCTGTCACCCCGGAGGTGTCCCTTCGGAGCGGCCCTCCAAGTCTCCTCTATCCTCCCGCCCCTCTGAAGTTTCCTTCCACAACTTCCCCCCAACCAGCCAAAAGCCTCCGTCCCCTCCGGCGCCCACCGCGTCCTCGGGCCCGGGAGCCGCGCGGGGGGCGCGACCCCACCCTTCACACCCTTCACCTGTTTCTCGGGCTGAGGCCCGACAGGCCGGGGTGCGTTGCTCCGGGGTTACGGGCCGCGGGCTCCCTCAGGCCGCAGGGTCTCTCCTCGCAGACGCGGAGAGGGAGAGCCGAGCCGGGTTACTCGTCAAGGATCCGGTTCGGGCTCACTCCCTCCGCTGCAACGACGGAACCCCAGGCTCTCCCTCCCAGTCTACGCCGCCGCCGCCGCCGCAGCTCCGGAAACCTCTGAATTACAGCCCCTCCAGCCAATCCCCGCCCAGCCCCATCCTGACCAAGACGCGCCTTCTTGCATAATTCATGAGACGGCCAGTATTCTCCTCCACACAGAAGCGCTGGAGCGTGCACTGCACACCAACTGACCAATGAGAAGAGCCTTAGGGAGAAAGGGCGGGGCCAGCATACAGCTGGGAACGCCCCGTGCTGGCTGTTCCGAAGGCTCAGTCCTCCTCCCTCCGCAATAGCAGGGGAATTGCCGATGTCTCGGGACCAGAAGTCCGGAGGGAGGGAGGGAAGATGGCTGGAATGTCCTGCTAAAAACTCAGCTGAGTTCCTGGCAGTGTGTGACGTCAAGACACTTTAAATGCCCCTGATGCGGCTCTCTTTTGCCTGCTCTCCCTTTTTCCGGTTCTAAATACCACGTGGCGGCCAGGGTGGGAGCCACTTACCACGTGGGAATCAGCCAGTTAGTCCCCAAGTATCGCCAGATCCCCAGGGGGCCCAACACCTCAACTGGGTTTCTGAGGACAGTAAAAAGAACATGGGTGACTCCTGCCTGCCCTGAACTCCAGTTTCTGCGTGAGATGAGACACACACACACCCGGAAATATGACGTGGAAATAGAATAATTACTAGAGTGCGTGGGGAGAGAGTAGTGGATTTAACCCTGTTCTCTGTTCCCTCACTTGAAGCATCAAACGTCAACTGCTTGCACATTGGCCAATTCACGAGAATGCAGAAGGCAGTGTATATATATATATATATATTGGCACGTATACACATTTTTATGCTTCTGAGTTGAAATACTTGAAATCGCCTTTTTTTTTTTCCTGGTTAACTTAAATCGCAAGTTTTACTGCATTGAATGAAGCCAGTAGTTTATAGGAAATGTAGACATTTTACCCTACATAATGGAGGATGTACTTTGCATAATGGAATGATTTATGTGTGAGTGTATGCCCCTGCTGATATTATCAGGGTATGTTTTTTAATAACAGCTATTAGTGTTTGTGTTTGTTGTGTTTTAGTAAAGGGGTATAAAGATGAAATCTTAAACCACCCAGATAACTACTGATGACATTTTTTAATGAAACTAATATATGTTGTGGTTAGGAAATTCAACCAATTCAGAAAACTTGAAAATTAAACATGAAAATCTCCCCCCTTCACCCATCAGTTCTTCTCCCCAAGGATAGCTATTCTTGTGTGTTTGTTTTTTGTGGGGGTTTTTGTTAAACCTCACCCAAGGTTATTTTTTCCACTGCTTTTTAGAGGGAGGGAGGGAGGCAGAGAGAGAGAGAGAGGAACATCTATATAAGAGAGACACATCAATTGGATGCCTCTTCATGCAGGGGATCCAATCTGCAATGCAGGTACTGCCCTTGACAGGGAATCAAACAAGAGACCTTTGGTTCTCAGGCCTACACTCTATTCTCTGAGCCACACTGGCCAGGGCAAGGATAGCTATTATTAATTTCTGGTGAGGAAAACAACGACTCTTAACTTTGGGGGAGAGAGGTCACTGAGCCTACTGGA